TACTGCCCTTTTTTACTTCATAAACAGACTGTGAAGACCAAGGGTGGTTAGAAAGAGGGATACTGCTGACTTTAAAAGAAAACACAGTGGTGATTCAAGGAAGGGCAGGGTTACTGGTGGCAGTAATAGTTGAGATCTGACATCAAGTCATAGTAATAATATGAACTTTGTTAGCTGCCTTCATCCACAACAGTTTATATGCTGATAGGCGTGGTAATTAGATAATTCATACTGTTGAAGCTGTAGGGTTTTGTTGATGTTGTTTATCATTTTTTTATGTCTATGGTGTACATGATGTTTCAAAATACATATACATTGTGGCATGGCTAACTTAATTAACATATGTAATACCTCACATACTTATCATTTATCTGTGATGAGAAGACTTAAAATCTCTCAGAGGTTTTCAAGTATACAAAACATTGCTATCCACAGTAATCACCATGTTGCACAATTAGATCTCTTGAAATCATTCCTCCTGTCTAACTGAATTTTTGTATCCTTGGACCAACATCATCCTGATCCATGCCTCCTTCCTATTCCCTGTAGTTTTTTTCCAGCAGGGTTTTCCTCTTTGGAATTTTCGTATCTCAAATTTCAGACTGTTAAATTAAGCCCCTTTTTGGAACATCCATGAAATAATGTCATGTGCCAGGAAAATCCACCAGATGGCGCTAGATCATTTAAAGAGTCACCGCTTGGCCTCTCCATCGCAAAATCACCAAGATTGATTGTATTGGAACTAGGTCCTAGTATTGGAATTAGGTATTGGAACTAGGTCCTAGTATTGGAACTAGGTCCAGGTTGGAGGAAAAGAAAATCCATTGCACATTAATTGCGATGCTGGGCCAACATTTCAGTAAATAACCTTTTTTGTCCTCCTTGGCTTTTACTTTAGTCCCTCTGCTTTTTTAGTATGTGTGTTTATGCACTTCCTTTTATTTCTTTTAAATCAGTTAGGGTTGTTCAGATCAGAATACTTAAGAAGCTTGAAACCGCTGACTTGCTTTTAGAGCTGCCATAGACACACATGCATGTGGTACAGAGGCTGCCCTTCTCTCTTTTGAATGAATTTAGAAATAAAAATAAGGCTCGTGGTGTTTTCAGAACAGAGGGTAAAGTTTCTACTTTTGTTGAGGCTTTCAGTTCTTGTGCCATTGAACCTCAATTTCCAGCCTGCAGACACACCTACATTAGGGGAAGACGTGCTGGGCTTATAGTGCTTCTCTATACCTTTCCCATTTCCAAGGCTGTCCAGGGACTGGCAAGAAAAGGAGTGGGCATGAGTGTTGGGTAGTCAGAGAGCTCATTTAGGCTGGAGGGGCTCTGCTGTGCCCTGGACTCTGGCCACAGCCTGGCTGTGGACATGCTGTGGACAGCATGGCATGGGGGTATGTGCACATGCAATTATGAGCTCAGGGGTCAGAAGATCTGGTTAGACTTTGGGTGTCCATTTTTGGGGTCATAGCAATTACAGTTAAGATCTGTATAATATTTCCTTCCTACCTTTCCTCCCTTCCTTCCTTCCTTCCTTCCTTCCTTCCTTCCTTCCTTCCTTCCTTCCTCCCTCCCTTCCTCCCTCCCTCCTTTCCCTCCCCATCCCCCTTCCCTCCCTCCCTCCCTTCTTCCCTTCCTCCCTTCCTTCTTTTCTTTCCCCTTCCTTCCTTCCTTCCTTCCTTCCTTCCTTCTCCTCCCTCCCTCCCTCCCTTCCTTCCTCCCTCCCTTCCTTCCTTCCTTCTTTCTTTCAACACAGCTTCACTCTGTCATCCAGGCTGGAGTGCAGTGGTGCAATCTCAGTTCACTGCAACCTCTGCCTCCTGGGTTCAAGCAATTCTTGTGCCTCAGCCTCCCGAGTAGCTGGGATTACTGGCATGTGCCACCATGCCCAGTAATTTTTGTATTATTAGTAGAGATGGGGTTTCACCATGTTTGCCAGGCTGGTCTTGAACTCCTGACCTCGGGTGATCCGACTGCCTCAGCCTCCCAAAGTGTTGGGATTACAGGCATGAGCCACTATGCCCAACCTTCTTTTTCATCCTCACATATAACCCTTGAAGGTAGGCAGGGAAGTTTCTGGCTTTATTTTGATTGTATAAATGAAGAAACACATCAAATCAAAGATACCTAAGTTCCTTTTAAGTTTGAGGTTCCATCTGTGCAGAGCCTTTTCCTAAATTTGTAATGCCAGGTGCCAAGTTTTCTGGAAGTGGTGCAAAAGTCTGTGAACAATGTGGAAATGGCCAGAGAGAACTGGGCAAAGGCCTGGGAATGTCTATTTCTGATGGATGGTGGCACTCTCTCAGTGCTTACCAGCCAGGCCATTTAGGGAGGTGGTGAGAGACTGGGGACTGTAGGAAGGGAAGGATATTGACTTCAACACTGAGGGTCTCTGATGAATCCTGACTAAGCCAAAGCTTTGAATAGCACAGAACTTGCTAAAAGCTTCAATCAGCAGAGGCAGGGGTGATGGAGAGAGCAGGAGATGGCATTTGAGGGGCCTCCCAGCACCCTCTCCAAAGATGCTGAGGTGATGAAGGTGATGAGGGAGGAGAAAAAGCTATGGATCCTGCAGTTGGGGTGACGGAAGTCACAGCCATCGTCTGCTTACCAGTAGTCCCCGAGACTGGCATTTCAGGGGAATCCAGGCTGTAGGTGACGTCTAAGAAGGCCCCAGAGGGGATTTGCTGGTTTGCAAAATTTCAGTTTTGTGGGTGAGGGAATCCATTCTGGAGGTTTCATATCCCACTGGGGAGACAGTCGTATCCTTTGCTGTTCTTTTTATGTTCTGGGTGTTTTATTTTTAAGTTTCAAATCTTGGCCTTGAGTTAAGGAATGTCCTTAACTTTCTTGGCATGTGCTGAGGCACAAAAGCAGTAAAGTACAGCCATTGTGAAGGCTAATAAATAAAGGAACCTCAATGCCACAGTCACCTTCCTGTGCATCCCCCACAGCACTTCTGGGTCCCGCTCCCCCAGCCCCCTACCAGAAAAGGCCCAGGGCCTTTGCATGCTTGGGTCTGGTGTGGCAGGGATGCATTCAGCGTGGCTGAAAACAGAGGCTGAGGTTGGAGATACCATGGGATAGTATGGAGAGGAGGCTCAGACAATTCCATTTTCTGGAGCACACTCTCTGCAGCTCCCTTTTACATACACTGCTTTTTGAGAACCAAATACTCAATAACACTCACCTCATTCCATTTTCTCCTTTGACTTTGGCCTTGATTCTTTCTTAGTGGATGTGTACCCTAAATCCAACGAATGTATTCTGAATCAAGCAAGAGAGAAACTTCAAATATCCTCTGCAGCCTCTCTGCCCAGCTCAGCCTCCCTTGCTCGCTCTTCCTTCCAGAGACCTCCAAGGACAAGGGCAGGGCTGATCTGACTCCCACGAGACAGCCTCAGGTGTAAAGCTAAGGATGCTAACTTGGGCCTTTTCCATGGCTGAAAGGAACCTGAGAATTCCAATTAGGCTTAAACTAATGAGCTGGAAACTTTGGGGAAACCACTGCAGCAATGAGGGAAGAGCGTGATCATCTTCGATTTATTTAGCCCTGGAAAAACTTGTGGTCCAGCTGATAGCACGAGGAGGGACAGTGTCCAGGGGTCGCAAAGTTTCCGGAAGTGTCAGAAGGGGGATTCCCCTGGTGGTGTACGGAGACAGGCTACGGAAAAACACGGACTCCTTCTTCATCTTAAGCGCGGAGAAGGGAAGACCCTAAATGGGGAACGGTGAGCCGGAATGAAGTCTGGAGCCCCTCTTCCCCCATCTGTTCTCCTCACAGGATGGACGGAATCTGAGACTATATGAAAGGAAAGCAACCTTTTAGGGAACTCTGTTGTCTGTTGGGGCCTGCACTATCCCCAGGTCAGGTCGTCCTGATCATCTCTGCCTACTCTCTCTTGGGCAGCCTCTGTTGCTAATAAGGAAAAAGGAGAGAAACCACCTGCTGCTGTCAGAGGCCAGAGACTACCCACCGGCCTTCCTGACCCTGCCCTCAAGCCACACACGGGACATTGGGCACATAGGAAGCAGGGAGAAGAGCGAAGTAGAGGGTGGGTCGCTGTGTATATCCTGGCGTAGGGTCCTCCTCAGTTCCGAAGCCCGAGGGTCCTGGGGCGCTCAGTCTGTGGAATCGAGTTGACAGCTGGCACTCCTCCCCTACCCACTGGGGGCTCTTTTGGGAAAAAAACGGCCTGACTGGGGCGCCCCGCCATCCTCCCCGGGTACCCCACCGCTCTCGGCTGGGGGCGCAGCACCTTGGAGAGAGGCGCCTGGCCCTGCGCCTGGGCTGGGGGCGCTCTACCTGGCGCCCTGGGGGTCAGGGGCGCGTGCCGGGCCGCCGCCGAGGGGCCCTGCTCGCCCCTGCCCAGCCTGGAGCCCAGGCGAGCCAGCGCGGCGAGCCTCCTCCCCTCCCGCCTCGGGCGTCCTGAGCCCGCGCCCGCTCCAGTTGCTGCAGCTGCTGCTGCTGGCGGCTGCGGGGAGCGCGGGGCGCGCGCCGAAGAGGCTCGGGCGGCGAGGACGGGGACGAGGAGGAGTCGGAGGCGGCGAGGAGGAAGAGCGAGCGGAGGCCGAGGGGCTCAGCGGCGTGGCGACAGGACTCCGGGTCCGGGGAGCATGGGCTAGCAGGCGGCCACGGCCCGGTGGCCGGACGCGGTGAACCTGCTGCGGCCGGGCGCGCACTGGGGCGGGGAGCCTGAGCCGAGCGCAGCCGGGAGAGGAGGGCTGGCGCGGGGGCGCCAGGGCGGAGGGGGCCGATTATCCATTATTAACGAGTTGTCGCCTAATAAGCAGAGAGCGGCTCGTTAGCCGCGCAGGAGGCGCGCGGGCAAGGGGGGTCCCCGGCCGAGCGCAGCGCACACCCGTGGCGCACGGCGGGCGGCGCGGCGCCGAGGACACCCGGGCCCGCGCGCGGAGCCGGGGCGGGCCCGGGGGCGGCACAGACCCCGGGCGCGGGAGGCCCGCGGCGCCCCCTGGGTCTTGGAGCTCGGGGCCAGCGCAGCCCGGGGCTAGCGGGGCGCGGGCCGGGGAGGGGGAGCTGCCAGCGCTCTCCATCCCCCTCCCCCCCGGGCGGGCCGGCGGCCGGGGGGAGGGCTGGCGGCGGCGGCTCGCTGTATATATCTCGGCGCACCCCGCCAGGTCGCGCACAGCGCCCCGAGCCCAGGCGCCTCCCCGCCCCCCTCCCGCGCTCCGCGGCGGCGGCGGCGGCAGCAGTAGCAGCAATATGGCTGTTGATGGGTGTTTGGGGTGGCGCTGGCGGCGGGAGGAGCTCCCCCGAGCCCCTGCGCCGGCTGCCCGTTGCTAGCTATGGCAAATGGTGGCGGCGGCGGCGGCGGCAGCGGCGGCGGCGGCGGCGGCGGCGGAGGCAGCAGTCTTAGAATGAGTAGCAATATCCACGCGAACCATCTCAGCCTAGACGCGTCCTCCTCCTCCTCTTCCTCTTCTTCTTCTTCCTCCTCCTCTTCCTCCTCGTCCTCGGTCCACGAGCCCAAGATGGATGCGCTCATCATCCCGGTGACCATGGAGGTGCCGTGCGACAGCCGGGGCCAACGCATGTGGTGGGCTTTCCTGGCCTCCTCCATGGTTACTTTCTTCGGGGGCCTCTTCATCATCTTGCTCTGGCGGACGCTCAAGTACCTGTGGACCGTGTGCTGCCACTGCGGGGGCAAGACCAAGGTAACGCGCGCCCCGGGCGCCCGCCCTCTGCGCCAGCCCCGCCGCTTCTCAGCGTCCCCTGCAGCCCACCTCCTCGCTCCGCGCCGCGCAGTGCCTCCCTCCATCCCCGCCTGCCTTCCCCTCGCCGCCTTCCCTTCCCTCGGCTCTCCCGGTGCTCTCGGATCGGGGCAGCGGGCGGCGCGCCGGGGGTGAGGAGTTGCCCCCAGCCGATGCGCTCCGGGACACGGACGCCCAATCCTGCCCTCTTGTTTATTGTAGGGTTGTTGGCAGCTGCGGCTGGGGCCGGGGTGGGGAACGCACAGTCTTGGGTGCCGTGGTGCGGGGTGGGGAGAGCCTACCCCTCGGGGACAGAGGGAGCTGGGGGCAGCTGGGTGCGTGTTCTACACCGCTCACCTGCCGGGGCTTGGCTCCTGGCGGTGGGCGAGTGGGAGGACATCCGCCCATACTTTAGGAACCTGTTGGGGAGATGAGTTCGTGGGGTCAGAAAGAAGGGAAAATCCTTTGGGCAAGGGAGAGAATAATTTTGCACAAGGGAATCCCGGGGGAGGAGCATGGCCCGAGATAGCAGGGGGACTTCGAGGGGCGAGAAAAGTTGGGGAGATCCATCCCAGTATTGGGGGCAGCCCATGGGGCTGCCACTTTCAGAATGTGTTGAGGTCGCATATCTGATGTAACCTCCCACTCCGTCCCTTAGGTGTTCTAGTGGAACATACCCCAAGTTCTTCGGCCTCTGTTCCTTTGTCCCTAGGCCACCCACTTTGGGTCCCCGGAAATGCCACCAGCAGCGCGGAGCTGGAGCGGGGGTCCACCTGAGGCCGCGGTTTTACGCGGAGCTTCTTCCCTGGCGCTCAAGGTGGCTAGATGTCGTCGGCTTTAGCTATTCCTGGCGCAGACGCCCACCAGCACTGAGGCTGGTGACACCTTCGATGTATGGTTGCTAGGCTCACTGCCTGGTCTGTAGTCGTGTCCCTAGAGATGTCCTCCCTTCCCCACAGCTACTAGCTGGAGTGAGGGGCCCGACACTGTTTAATAGAAAACTGCAGAGTAAAAAAGAAAGAACTGGAAAAAAAGAGAGTGACCCAGCTGCCTTCTTTCTGAGTAATTCCCATCCTAGGAGACTTCACAGCACGAACCGTTTTGGAGGGAAGGGACATCCAGGGGAATAGTGCAGGGTAGATGCACATTGCAGCCTCCACATGTTCACATATTTTCTAGTAAAGTTAAACTGAGGACCCCTCAAACTTCCACAGGGCACAACTACTTGTAGCAGCCTCCTTAGCGGCTGAGAGAAGTAGGGAAGCCAGGGGCTATGGGTGAAGGCTGACTATGAAAACACCAGGGCGAATGGAGGCTCTCTCTCCTGATCATTAATTATACATCCTGTTGGGTGCTGGAGCTCAGCTGTGTTTTGTGGCAGCACATTTGTGTTTTGGAAAATACTGGTGTATTGGAACAAAGGGAGAAATATGAAAACCGTCATTCTCTTCGTCATTCTCTGACTTCTCCGGAGGCCTGCAGGTGTTGGCCGGAGAGTTTTCTTTGGAATTACCTTCTCAGCCGTAGAGGTTCTTTCTTATTTGTTAAGGGGGAAAACCTCCCACCTGCCAGAGAAGCCCTCAGGTTAAGCAAAGCCCTATACACCAGATCCCTGCCTAGCCTTCCTGCTGAGAACAGCTTATTCCTGGAGCCTTCAGATTCCCACATTCCCTCTCTCCATCCTCCTCCACCTCCCCCAACAGTCTCGGGAATTTTGTTCCCCGGTTTACTGCGATTCAGCGACTGTCTTTAGAGGAAAGATAGCTCACAGTTGTGTGTGTCTGAAATGTTCCCTAGATGGAGTGATCTGGGTGAACTTTTTAACAGCTTGCTTTCTTTCAGGCAGTGGGCAATTTTGATCATAATGAAAACTTTTTCAATGATTCAAAATAAGTTGTGGTGTTTTTGTGATCCTGGGGTCCTAAACACAGCTTCCAAAATATTTTTACGCTAGGGAGTACATAAATGCAATTGCTGTGTCTGTAATGAAATGCTAATCCCATTGCACACACAAAGGATTTCCTAAATGATGAGCAAGCATAACTTCTGTCAGTTTACTCCAGAAAATAGGTTTTTGGCAACGATTAGAAAAAACAATTCATAAATATTTGGCTATATTTTGTAGCTCCAAGACCTGCTGAGTGGACATAAATGGAAGTTAGTTGCTATAAGAAGTCCTCCAGGGATGAGAGGTGATGGTGGTTGGTTCGGAAGATGTGAGGACAGTATAGAATGAGTGCAGGTTCCTTTTGATACCATGAGTCCATTTTAAAGCATGCCCAGAATCTCTTGATATCTGCCCCTAGATTCGCTCACTTAAGACATAGGTAGCCAGCTCATTATAAGCAATAATGGTAAGTTAAACCTTTTAAAAGCTTTTCTTTCTATGCTTGAGGTCTGTAATTTTATTGCAATTGTGTGTGTGTTTTTGTCTTTTGTTCTTTTTGCTTTCCAAGTATTTGGTAGTTTTGTCAAGACTCAATACACAGGCATGTATTGGCTTAAGTTTAGAATAATAATTTTTGTGCTAGATTTCCCAAGAAAACATAGGCTGCCTTTCCAGAAAATTCTACCAGCCCTCAGATGGGTTCACCCTCACCATCCTTCAGCCCCAAGATGGCTTGATCAAGAGCTGGATTCCAGAGGAAAGCAGGTCTTTTGTAGCATCTAAAATTCTGTGGGAGATAAAATTCAGCAAGGACCTCCAATTTCATGAGTGTTTGGTCTCTGGGATTGCACCATCCTTTTGGATCAAAGGAATCCAAGACTGTGGACATGCATCGTGGGACATCTCTTCATTAGTACCTCTGGTCTCTGAATCTCAAATAGTGAATGACTTTAGTCTTTTGAAAAGAGTGGCATGTGAACTTTTTCAGAAAGTGAAGAAGAAAGCATTACAATTTCCTCCTGTTGGGAACTTGGTCACAGTTATTCCAGTACTGTGTTCTTTGCTGTACTTTTTCACATTGTTTTTTTCTTTGTGGGATTTCATCAGAGCTCTCTATTCACTTGGGTGTGACATTGTGAAGTTCAATCCTGTCGTAGACTATATTGAATAGGGAGCTGCTCTGATAGCCTGAATAAAGCCATGACTTTGAAGAAGTTATTTAACCTCTCTGGTGTCTCTCTTTCCTTATGTATAAAATGTGGGGATTGAATTCTGTGAGTTCTAATGTCTCTTCCTGCTCTGTGATTTGATTTAGGAGAGAGGGAGAGTTGAGGAATAAGGGTTAAAGTTTCTAGCTCAGAATGTGTTTTGCAATCCCTCAGCAATTCTTCTAGGAATTCAGCCTTGGGACAGTTACATATCTTTATTTCCATCTTCTGCTCGTCTTTCAGCATATGGTCCACTTCTCTTTAAATATCTGGGGAAACTGAGGCCAACTTCCTGATGGAGCTGTGGTTTGCTGAGGGGCCTGAGTGTGGCTGGGCATAGAGTTATTTCTATTCTCAGTTTGAGCTGCTGTCCTTGCAGAAGCTCGGGCTTGATCAAGGATGGTCTGCGTGTAATGAATTATCGAGATGTTGTCTCCATGGCTGTGCCTGAGAAAACAACACGTTTTCTCTGTCAGGCTCGTGACTAATATAAATATCAGATCCCATTACAGCTTGGTAATTACCCAGGGTCTGGCCTGACGCATTCAATCAGGGCTGGAGCTTCGGTGCCGTGGAGCTCTTGATTCCAGATTGGCCCTGGTGCCTCATCTCATCGTGTCCTGGGGATTGGCTGCACCGGATGACCTTCAGATACTCCTTTTTGAGCAGATTACTTGGGGTGGCCTTGGAGGAGTTCTCGGGTTCCAGTCATGGGGGAGCTCCAGCTGGCCGCCCTTGTCCAGAGAGCTTGTGCTCCTCATTCCTGGCTCTCTCTTTCTCCTTTTTTCTTTATTTTCTTGAGACGGAGTCTTGCTCTGTTGCCCAGGCTGGAGTGCAGTGGTGTGATCTCAGCTCACTGCAGCCTCCGCCTCCTGGGTTCAAGCAATTCTCCTGCCTCAGCCTCCCAAGTAACTGGGACTACAGGCACATGCTGCCACACCCGGCTAAGTTTTGTATTTTTAGTAGAGATGGGGTTTTACCACATTGGCCAGGATGGTCTTGATCTCCTGACATTGTGATCTGCTCACCTTGGCCTCCCAAAGTGCTGGGATTACAGGCGTGAGGCACTGCGTCCAGCCCCTGGCCCTCTTTATGGAAATGCACATTTTAGTACAAGACTCTGCAATCGGACAAACCCAAGTTCAAATCGTGGATCCCACATTTATTAGCAGGGCATCTTTGACTGCCAACCGTGTTGAGCTTTGATTACTTCACCCATACCAAGAGCATACTGATGCTTACTTTGTAGGGTTCTTATAGGGAGCAGGAATAATGGTCATATAGCACCCTGCAAATGCCAGGCACTTAGCAGGGCTCTTGTAAGTGGTAACTATCATAGCTTCACGAAGTGCTGAATTTATTTTCCCTTTGATTCATTGAACTTTTAGCCCCTGAAGGGCTCAGACTATAACAAATACAATTTTTGAGCCAAAAGGAGCCTTCAGATCCTGAAGTATACTGTCATAGGTCCAAAAACCAGTTAGAGTAAGACTGAGACATGGGCTTATCGCTCTTGGCTGTTGCAAGGCTAGAAGGTTAAGGCAGGGCAGCAGAGGTAGGCTCCATCGATGAGGTCCTGGCAGGATGGTTACAGTTTTGATGGTGGGGTATCAGTGGACGAACATTGACAGTATGGGGGACCAGGAGCTGCCGGGCTGGCAGAAGGGAAACACTGTGGCGTTTGGTGGGCAGTTGTGGTTGTCCAGCATTGTACCCTTGAGGAGGGACAAATTCCACCCCTGTTATCCCAAGTCCAGAACGCATAGACCTGTCTCCCAAGTGATGTCACAGTCTCTTGGCCAGGACACTCACTGTCTACCCAGACCAGCTTTTCCAAGACACCCCCTCGACCAGTGTTTCCCAAAGTG